CCATCCATGAGCCGGCGCTGAACGTTCCAACACAGTCCGAGACATAATATCCAAATTCCGCCTTACTTTTTCTTGGCCCCAAATCCACCTAAACAAATCTCATGTAAGCTTCTTTAGTCCTCACCAATATCTTTGATGGAGGGACAAAAAACATTTGTCCTCCTTTGTTTCTCAGATATCGGAACCAAAATAAATGGTGAGAATCAAAAAATGCAACAAAACGCACCTCAAAATTGCTTAATGCAATCCCAACGACATACGCCCCACCAGTGGTACTGAAAAATGCTGCCTGTGTCTTGGAGCATGCAAAACTGAAGCCGGGAACGCTTTCGATGCCCAAATCATTGCGCGTCAAATTTGCCTCCACAGTGAGATTCTGCAAATAAGACATGTTGGATAACACAGCCAGAATCCGAAAAATAATTTGAATAATGAGAAAAGCTTTTTTCTCATTATTTTAAAGTGCAAAAAAACGAACTTGTAGAATTTTTTAAAGTGCAAAAAAAAACGAACTTGATTGCCCGTAATATTAAAAGGCTTCAATAACTCTACTTCCTTCAAAGACCAATAACCATTGTTCTGAATACCGACGAAATCCAACCTGAAAAATGATGTGTCAGTGTGATCGTAAGGTCAGAGGGGCAAGCACTGGGATGCAACAATGGGAGCACTTACCTCAGCTCAATTTTTTCGCTTTCGGATATCCAGAATGCGCCGATTCCTTTACTGCTCACTGCGTTTTTCAGAGTGATAACGATCGTGAAGCTATAACAAACAGTAAGTAATAAAAATATTTTAATGCTGGAAGAAAAAAAAGCAAATAGTATTAAAAAATTAATAAAACTTGCAAAGTATTGTAAAATATAATGGTAAGGAATGTTTCGGTCCGTTAAGTCATATACATTTCTTACTCTGTGGCTACTCACATCTCTATCGCTGTTGTCTAGAAAAGCTACTAATACCGAAAGGAACTTTTCACTAAGCACAAAGCAACTAAAAAGCACCAAATTCAGTCAGATATAATGAAACTTTGTTATTAGAATGACTGTAAAAAATCAGTGAGCCAGCAATAAATGCAGTTTGGAAAGATGCGTTACACTACGCAAAAGACTTAGATTAAAATGCAAAAAAACTGATTGGAAATTTATGTGGAAGAGTCTTACATATGTATCAAAATTTGCCTTTTTTTCAGCCATATTTGTTTCGCAAAAAGCGGGCTTCAATGAGGAATTTTGAAAATGGATTTCAACGAGAACTTTTGAAAATCCATGGATTTCTATGAATATTTGCCCCTTGTCATCCAAACAAACAAATGGCACGAAAAGCAATTGTATTCCGGAAATCAGAACTTAATTCTCATCTTAGACAACTCTCAAAACAGACTTCGGAAGAGGAAGCGATGTTGCAAAATCGATCAGTGCAATGTTCATGTTTCCTGTTACAGGTGAAAGGGAAGGATGGTTTGTTAAGACTGTGAAAGAATCAGTTGGCAAGACCCAGCAGCTGACCTGGCATTGCCCCATGTGGCATTATCCATGTCGCAGTTGTAGTAATTTGGATCCCATTCAAACGTTGCATCGCCGTTGCCAACAACAATAAACGAGGCGCCATCCTTGTTTCGTATGATAACATCAAAAGCTTCCATGTACAGCAGGCACTGATCGGTCTCAGCAAGTGAGTAGTTCTCTGGTGGCAACAGCACAGGCATCTCAAAATAAGCGGAATGCACCTAAAAACAAACAAATCTACAAAAATAACAAAAATTTATCGCAGGGGCCCCGTCAGGGTATGTAATTCCTTGTGCTTTTCCAAGCAGCTGTTCCAAGGGAGAACCCATCGTCAGTGCCACCTAAGTATCACTGGGAATACTCACCGACTGGTTATCACTGGGTGCTGCCATCGATTTATCATCGAACGTAACATCTGATGAGACGCGCTTCCGTCGGGTCTGTAATTTAAAAAAAAAATTATAGGAAGAAGCCGAAGGCTACCAAGCTATCAAACGATGTCAAAAAACTAACCAGTTCGCTTTCGAAAGCATCTGGTGACGAAACAACAACTGTCTGATAACTTGCCAGATCGTTCTGTTGTGCGAAGAGATTGAGCAATTCTTCCAGACTTTCCACTTGCCGATACACTATGCCTTTCGCGGACGTCTTATCCAGCTTATCAGAGTCCTGCGTTATCTACAAAAAATGCTGTTGCCTTGCCAACTCGAAGCACCGCCAAAACAAATTTTAAAAAAAAATCCCGGCTCCTAATGGAAATTTAGCGAATTACTTAGATGGTGCACCTTCAGTGGCTCCTCCATCGGCAGCGCTTTCACGTGACCAAACAATCGCATCAGCGATGTGAACGGGCCTTTCAATGGCTGCTCACTGTAAGCTTGTGCAAAAACGAGGAATTTGGGCAGTGAGAACTCCTGGACACCCAGAGCAAGCAGTCTGGGAGAAGTGACCGATGCCAGCTGATGCACTGTAACCTTACTGAAAAAAAAAACATGGATGGTGTGGCCCGGAACGCGCACAAGTTGCGAAAGTGTAATAGAAAAGTAACTGAAATAAGAAAGAGAATCGAAGAGGAAATTCCGCAAAAGGAATTAATAAATTAGCAAAAGTAGTGAAACTATTTTAATAAAATTATTATAATAATAAGAAATGTTTTGGTCCATTAAGTTGTATACATTTCTTACCATTACCATAATTAAGGCCTCATCAATATGATGACTGTGTTAATTGTAACTGGTACAAATAAAACTTAAATTTAAATTAGTTGTATAAAGCATGTTAGTAAAAATAGAAAGTGCATGTCAGTAGATGTAAAAAGTGCTACAGAAGATGAGCAGTAGTATGTAGAGAAAAGTAACATCTTATGGAGTGAGCGTCTGAAAAAAAAAGTGTGGATTTTAACTCACTCACTTCAGCGGCAGCGATGAGAAGATGATGGCGTCATAAGCAGCGCAGCACTGTAGGCACACCAAAACGAGAAATACAATTAGGCACATCCTGCAAAACGGATCCTGTCATAGCAGCAGCAGCTTCAGCTATACAGATCAGAAAAAGCCGCTGCAGTCCCCTGCCACGCAATAGCAACAGTGCTACACCGCCAGCACTACTACAGCACACTGCTAACACTAGTGTTATTTTTGCAAAAACCAAAAACATAGGTTACGACGCACCAGGCCTGCTGTTGCGATCATTCGTTTTTGCGCCAAACTTGAAGCAATCAGGTCGCTGTTAATTGTATGAGTGGTTGTTGCTTTACTTTTAACATGCACACTTACTGCCGTAAATCTTGCGTGAAGGAAAGAACAAATTTCGATGAACTGCCTTTCACGGAAATCGCCAAGTTGTTCCGGTGGTCTTCCAGACACTTTTTTTTTTGCACTTAAAACAGAAACTAAAAAAAGAATTTAAAATTAAAATCGGGGAAGCCGAGGAACACCGATCTCAGCAAAATTTTACAATCATTAGCGACGCGCACTGGGCGGGCCCCGTGCGATCATGCGTTTTTGCAGTGTTTCGTACTGCAATAAGATCACTCGAAATTTCGCCAGCTAGAAACCTCTTGTATATACTGGTCCTCAAATTTCGGAAGCTAATTATCAAGGCTGTACTTGAACAGGGAAAATTCCCTCGAAATCCCAGGCTCTCAGCTTTCTCAGTTTCCGAGTTACCCAAATTCCAACCATAAAATTTCACGGGGCCGTACGTGGCAGCCACGCATAACGGGGGGCTGAATTTGATAAATTTAAGTTG